GAGGTAGATATTTTGGATGTAGTATAGCAATAAATCTTGGCAATGACGTATTACAAAGGATAATTGTGATTATAATAATAAGAAGAATAATAATGATCACTATAAGAATAACACCAATAATATTGTGGTACTGCTGACATTACTACTTCTTCTTCTAATTTACCATGACACATAAAACGTGATAGAGCTATGATCGACAAAAATGATATTGTCTTGAAAACAGTCAAAAAACATAAAAACTAGAACGAATAAGACATAATGCAATCATGTAAACAAATTTGTTTGTCCATGTTCATCCGCTGGTATCAAATTACTGAGCAAATCTTGAGCAAGATGCACATTAAGATAAACTTAAATACAATACTTTATGACATATTGTCTATTGGCATGATTTTATTCTTTACTTATTCTTCCCTAATATTCTACTTTTTGTTTAATAATATTCTGATGTTTCTTCATTTCTCTTAATAATATTTTAGCAACGAATTGAGAGTTTTGAGTGGACATCTTGGATGAAATACAGCAACTGAAAAAATCCTGGGCGCATGATGTATTGCGAAATATAACCAGGATAATAAGGAGCGGAATGATACCACTACTACTAGGGCTACTCCTACATGCACTACTACACTACGGCCATTGATGATTATGCTGATGATACTGAAGATACCAATGATATATCAATTATGATAGTGATTATAATAATGATAATAATACTAATAATCATCATCACCATCATCATCATACAAATTTAATCTATCTCCTATCCTCATTAGTTATACCATAATACACGGATTGGCATACTTTGTATAACATGTCACAGTGTCGTAGGTGAATAAGATATTTCATACGGCTGGGCTTGTAACTAGGGTAAAAGAAGAAAGAAAAACACATTTGAAAGGAACATTCTGAAAAGAAACGCACCTTGAATGAAATTGTTTGCAAGAATGTCAACGCTGGAATGTTTTACTTTTTTTTAAATATCTATTTTCACTGATAGTTACCTAAAGAGCGTGGGTGCTTTGAAGCTCAAAGATGTATTTGTCGAATAGATTCTTTAGAGTAAAATGACAATGGAAAACTATTTGAAGTTTAAGCATGTCCAAATATGGGTATTACTTCGTTCCGCTTTGATACAAACATTCCACCCTAAATCAATATACGAGAAAACTCAGACAGATAACTGATGAGAAAATGGAAACAGTATTTTAGCTTCTGTTTATGACACTTTGAAGAAAGAGCGTGGGTGTTTTGAAGCTTGAAAACATGTTTGTCGAATAGATTCTTTAGGGTGAAATTATAATGGAAAACTATTTGTAGTGTAAGTGTTTGTAACTGAAGTGAAAAACGGAAACAGTATTTTGGCTTCTGTTTATGACACTCCGGAGAATTGAGGGGGCATGTCCCCCCCCCCCCCTGAATTATTTGTAAAAGTGCCTGACAAAAATGTATAGCAAATACTGACTCAAAATTGCAACATACTTTTAAGCTCTGGGGGGGGGGGCAAGAGTGCAAGGTTTAGACTAATATAAAAAGCAAAAATGTTCTTGCTCGCTCGCTACATCTCCTCGTATAAACTCCTTCAAGATGTACTAGTAATTATTGTTGGAAAACTCACATTACGTCGCCCCCCCCCACCACACACACACACACACACACACGCTCGCACCCACAAAAAAAAACATTCAAAAACACACTCGCAAAATCATACATAAATACCGTTTAAACCCTTTTTTATTTTAAGCTTTACCTTCAATTATTTTGTTTGAGCCCGCCATCCTATACTCAAGCGTCGCTTACGATTGTGGTCTCCTGCACTTTTTCAACAGATAGTTTGGATAATAATTTCAATTGATGATAATATGTTATAGAAATATTAAGTTTTGTTACTTGATGTACATACGTAAACAAAACATGTTGAAATTAAGTCATTATTATATGTATATTTTGTATTATACCTTACGATAATATGTTCTTCGTTATTCAGTTCATATATTTGGTAAAAGGCAGAATTAAAACAAAATCAAAATCAATTGTTTTTAAAGATGAAATCACTACACCTGCCTACTACTACATGTACTACTACACTACTGCCTTTGATGATTTTGTTGATAATGCTGATGGAAATAATGATATGTTAATAATGATAATGATTATAATAATGATGATAATACAAATAATCATCATCACCATCATCATCATGCAAATTGAATATATCTCCTATCCTCATTAGTCATACCATAATACACGGATTGGCAAACTATTTATAACATGTCACAGTGTCGTAGGTGAAAAAGATATTGCATACGGCTGGGCTTGTAACTAGGGTAAAAGAAGAAAGAAAAACACATTTGAAAGGAACATTCTGAAAAGAAACGCACCTTGAATGAAATCGTTTGCAAGAATGTCAACGCTGGAATGTTTTACTTTTTTTAAATAACTATTTTCACTGATAGTTACCTAAAGAGCGTGGGTGCTTTGAAGCTCAAAGATGTATTTGTCGAATAGATTCTTTAGAGTAAAATTACAATGGAAAACTATTTGAAGTGTAAGCATGTCCAAATATGGGTATTACTTCGTTCCGCTTTGATACAAACATTCCACCCTAAATCAATATACGAGAAAACTCAGACAGACATATAACTGATGTGAAAATGGAAACAGTATTTTGGCTTCTGTTTATGACACTATGAAAAATTGAGGGGGACATGTTCCCTCCCCCCCCCCCCCCTTCCTCGGAAAATTTGTAAAAGTGCCAAACAAAAATGTACAGTAAATACTGACTAAAGACTGCAACATACTCTTAAGCTTTTGAGTGCCCAACAGTGCAGCGTTTAGACTTATAAAAATGCAAAAATGTGCTCGATCCCTCGCATAATCTCCCTCAAAAAGTACTTGTAAATTTTGTTGAAAATCTCAAATTTCGCATGATATATTAATAATGACAAAGATTATAATAATGATATATTAATAATGATAATGATTATAATAATGATAGTAATAACAATTATCATCACCATCATCATCATACATATTAAATCTATCTCCGATCCTAATTAGTCATACCATAATAAACGAACTAGAACACTCTTTATAACACGTCGCAGTATCGTGGGTGAATAAGATGTTTCATAATGTTGGGTGGGCTTGTAACAAGGGTAAAAAGAAGAAAGAAAAACACATTTGAAAGGAACATTTGAAAAGAAACGTACCTTGATTGAAATCATTTGAAATGATGTCCACGCTGGTAGGTTTTACAGATTTAAAAAAATATTATTTTCACTGATAGTAACCTGGGGAGCGTGGGTGTTTTGAAGCTCAAAAACATGTTTGTCGAATAGATTCTTTAGAGTAGAATTACAATGGAAAACTATTTGAAGTGTAAGCATGTCCAAATTGGGGTATTTCATCGTTTCGCTTTAACACAAATAATCCTCGCTACAATAATATACGAGGAAACTCAGACAGTGATATAACTGAAGTGAAAACTTGAAACAATGTTTTGGCTTCTGTTTATGACACTTTACCTGCGTTGAGGTCCACCGTCCATAATAAGATTTCAGATATATATATATATATATATATATATGTATCATAATGTAATTCAAGAAATAAGTGCAAACCATAAGATGTAAATACCGAACTACATTTTTATGCATTCAGGTAGGATTTGGGTACGTTAGGCTGATGTTAAATATATTGGGAAAACCTGAATTTTACCCCAACATTTCTTTTTGGCAGCGTTCTACATTAGTAAAAGAATGTCAGAACTAGAAAATGTATATCAATGCATATATATCACGTATATTCAAAACAGGTTTAGGTGATCCTGTGGATCGAAATAATGTCATGTGAAAGCTTGGAAACAGTCACTTTGAGATCACTTTAAACAATGGAGCACTGAAGCACGAAACAGATTTTAGTATTCAAAAGGATTTAAGACCAAAGTAACGCTTGCATATAGCCTGAACCACATTCCGTGCATCAGAATAAACTTGGTACATACAGATTTTTACGGGACTTATTTAAAACCCTGGTTTTCATTCATCCAAGGCAGAAACATTATGAACAGGAAAGAAGTAACCCTCTACTTTAAAATATATTTATAGTTCGCACTAATTATTTCTTATAAGTTTGAGCTACTTACGACGTTAAATTGGGTTCAATTTTATTGATACGCACTTTATAACATCGCTTAGCTTCTCGTAGGAAAAGGCATTAAAATATTCTCTCCAAAAAATTGACAACATTTCAAAAGAAAGAAAAAAGAAAAAATACATTGATTGAAATAATGTGTTATTTTGGTCACGCACACCAGTTTTACACGAAAGAAATCTGTAACGCAAGGGCGATTGGTGCTCATATTAATTAAGTATTAACACTGAAGTAAACATTCTCAAGATTACTGACGATGTATTATTATACTTATTTTTTCATCGTCTCTACAAGGCTATTTTACATGTTAGGCTTTCAGGAATAAAAATAATTCATTTTACAGATGATTCTACTCGGTTGATTCCATTGTTCGGATGATTTATCAGAGAGGGAAAGTAGTGAAAAGTCTCAAGGTTAACAAATATGTTACGTTTCCCCTCTCTTACTCCCTTAAATTCTTACCACGAAGTAAGTATGTGCATGTATAAACCTTGACCATAGAGAAATAATCACTCATACCGCTGAAATGATTCTTCTTCTATCCCCTTCTTCTTTATCTTCCTCTTCTTCTTCTTCTTCTTCTTCTTCTTCTTCTTCTTCTGCTACTTCTGCTACTTCTTTATCTTCTTCTTCTTCTTCTTCTTCTTCATAGTAGTAGTAGAAGTAGCAGTAGTATCATAATTATTATCATTGATGTTGTTACCATTTTATCTTTGTAATTATAATCATTGCTGTTTTTATACGATTGTTAGGAAACAAGGCCTTGGCCTTAGTTCAGTCCGATTTTATACAAATTGGTATTAAATGGAACGCAACAATGTATACTTTTAAATACGTGTACATACCTGAAGGAATAGTACTTGTTTTCTAATTTCAGAGATTTTATCCTCGTCTGTCTGGGTCAGTTTGCCTGAATCTAGAATGTTTTCAGGGTCAAAAGCTACGTGTGAGAAGAGAAAGACAAGGAGATGGATGCGTTTGATAACAGAAGATTCATATGATGAGATAGAGACAGAGAGAGTGGAGCAGAGATAATTAAGAGAGAGAATGGAAGGTAGAGAAAAGGAATAAGAAAGAGGAAGATAGAGGGTGTGGGTTAGGAGAGGAAGAGGGATGTGCTCGTAGGGATAGTGGGAGATACAGACAGTCGGATAGAAGCAGAAAATGAGACAGGGGGGAGAGATAGAGATCGTGTGTGTGTGTGTGTGTGTGAGAGAGAGAGAGAGAAAGAATAAACACAATTTCAATTGGTTATCAAAGTGCTCAATTATTTCTAACATTTCGATCAAAATCTTGTTTAACTTTGACAAGTTCTTGGTACAATATTATTGTGACCGTTACCTGTAATATCATTAATGTCATATTAGCTGAAACATAATCCTTATTACAGATAAAACAAGGAAGAAAAAGTATCAACGAAAATATAATAAACTATGTTAGTTAACATTTATGTAGAATCAGAGGGAGTCGCTCAATATCAATCATACATAATTATCAGCTAACTTGAATATATATATATTAGAAAGTCTAAATTTCTCCTTGGTGTTCGAAAAGATACACACAAAGACAAGAGATGATAATACTCCGTACACGAAAATAAAGTTTAACAACTTTTAATGGTCCTTTCAAGTAATTTTTTGTTACCATTCTCTTCCCCTCCATATGGATTTTATTGATTTTTATTTCCAGCAAATTAACAAACAAAATGTCAATATTTTCATTTTACATTGAAATATGTTATTGTTATGCATCAATATATTCACATCGTATCCACCTCCTATATCTTCCTCTGTCCTATCCTACACATTATTTTTGAAATGTATTATTAGGTCATCTACCCCATTGCGGCAATTGTGTACAAGACATCAATGGTAGAAATTTACAGTGATAAGTAGCATAATTGTATAAATGAAATCTGCCCAGAAACCTCACCTTCATCTTGCGGACCTTCCTTTGCAACAGAAACGGCTTGGGTGACTCCAACAAGACACAGACATGAAAATAGAACTAGAGTGATAACAAAAAACGACTTCATCTTGAAGAGTGTTTTGATAGATTTCTGCAATCACTTTGGTGAGAAGATGAATGCTTGGTGATTTCAACTGTCCAAGAAGCTGGTTTGCTTCGGTATTTGTACCACTGTAACACTTAAGCCCCTCCCAGTCTTTTCCAAATTTGGTGACAGGGAGGGGCCAGAGCTAGTTCGGCACAACCAATTGTGTATTAAGCAGAGATTGTGTGAAATACGCCGATTAAAAAAAAATCAAAGTATCTAGAACCATTTCATTAATGTGTATTAACCTGAGCGCAGAATAGGCTAGCTTGACATTCAAATTGTATGGCAAAATGTGAAAGGGGCAAGGTTATTTCTTATGCAGAAGTACATGTAGACAGTCACCCTTTCACATGCGATCCTTAATTTTTTTTGTTATGATGGCTCAAGGTGACTTATGATTAATTTCTATGTATATTTTGTTTGACTCTAGCTGTCCAAACAGGACCAATTAATAACTAACAACGCCTTGGAAGTAGCAAGGTCGAGTGAAAGATTTGTCAGGAAGTTATCCAATCCAATATGGACCCGCCAATATCCAGCTGCCTACTCAAAGGTACTGATAGATGAGACTTAGAAATGACTGACTAATTTCGTCCATGATTCACCTTGAAAGAACTGGGGTTGCGGCTAATTGTGTATGAAATGGATGTGGGTTTTAAAAGTATAGCAGGTCACAACAGGCGCGGATCAAGGATTTCTTAGGGAGGGGCCCAAATTTGAAATCAATTTGAAATTTAGTGGTAGTGAGCACTAATTTGTTCTTCTTTTTTTCTTTGCTCCCGAAATTTGGAAATCGCGCCGGCCGATAATTCGCTAAGTGGGGGTGGGGGGATAGTGAGCACTAATTTTTTGTTTTGGCTCTTGAAAATTCGAAAAATGCACCCCTCCCCCCCCCCCCTTGGGCGCCAGGGGGGGGGCATCTCCAAAAAAGGGTAAAATTAAAGTGTGTTTACGCGCCGCCCCCCCCCCCCTGGATCCGCTACTGGGTCACTATGTTCTCCTTGAAACAGCGAATGTGCTTTACTGACTACACTGAAAATAATCATGTTGTTTTCAGGCAAACTCGTATATAGTTTGGTTTTGCTTGGTTTACGGTATAAAAAAAAACATATATACATTAATAATTATGATAATTGTTTTATAATAATACAGATGGATCGCTCTATTCAGAGCCATTAATATAATGGATTAGAAATTGTTGTAATTAAAATACGCCAGTGAGCTCTGTTAAATTAACCATCTAGATCATTCCCAAGTTGTAACTCTGTAGAATGATAAACAGGTATTCAGGATTTAAAGATTTCTCTTTACTATATATTTTAGCATGACCACGCATAAATGGAAAGACCTGATATGAATGGACTTAGTAACATAGTTTTTTAAAAATCTCCATAAGCAGATATGATTGCTCTAAAGCAAGTTCCCGTCAAACCTGTTCTCTCACAACCGTTTTCTTATAGCATCATAGACAACATTAATTACACCTAAAGACCTTTGAAATTATGTAGACACTGTCTGTTTAATTCAGATTGTTTAATGAAAACTCTTATATATTGACATAATCATTGAGCGATCAATGAGTTTCGTATCACACTTCTTTGAGAATGAATACAATTTTGTATCAGAAAGTTCAGAGTAGCAAAAGAACTATTCTTTCCTGAAGGAAAAAACAATCTATCATGAAATTCAATATACATTTACAACATTTAGAGAACCATCGACAAAACAGGCCTAATTTTACATGACACTTTATCCATGTTGTATGTATTAAACTAGGGTTTACATTTTATAACTGGTATGTGTCTGAAACTAAGGTGTACATTTTATCACTGCTATGCGTATAAAACTAAGGTGTACATTTTATCACTATTGTGTGTTTGAAACTAAGGTGTTGTCTTTCTATGAAACTAAGTTTTACACTTTATCACTAGTATGTGTCTGAAACTAAGGTGTACATTGTATCACTGTTGTGTGTATGAAAATAAAATGTTCTAAAAGCATTAAAAGAACTGACAAGTGTGTCAAACTACACGAAATGAAGTGGAATGTAATAGTAGGACTTCAGATAGTATAGACGGCGCAAGTAGTTTCGTAACCATCGATGTAGGGTCCACAATCCAAGCCATCACCCACCTGACACCGAACTTCTGTCAGGTGCAACAGCACACCATTCTGATTCCCCAGGGTACCCGCTTTAGGAACCATCTCTCGGTCCACACACACGAATTCCGTTCTCTTCTGGTTGTATCTCTGTGCCATAATATAACCAGCGTACTCTAAACGCCACTCTTGAGAAGGACACACGTTGCGGGCAGGAATCATAAGTTTGCTGGTGCGGCCAGAGGGCGCCCTGCAGACTGCACAGGTCGGAGTCTGGTCAAGACTGGATTGCATGCGTGACGGACCGCCGCTCACTTGTTATTCAGAGGAGTATAGGCGGGCTCGTTCATTATGTAAGGAAGTTTCTACTTCGTCATAGATAGGCGTGTCCGGCATGCAGAGATAATTTGAGCCGCTACCAGAATGAGTGTAGTGTGCACCTCCAATAGTACCTGAATAAATCACAAAGCAATGTAAGACAAACAAAGGTAATTCAACTTAAGTTCAAAATCATCAGAATCTAAATTAAGAATGATGAAGGACCAATGGCAATAAATTGAAGGCAACTCCGGAGAACGTTCAAGGAATAGTTTCCTACCAGGTACCCATCTAAACCTGAGTGGAGAGTGGTATACATGTGGATTAATGTCTTGGTGAAGGACATTAGCACGGGAGTGGGACTCGAACAACGAATCAATTAGGATCTACTGTCTGATGACATAATCTACGACACCTCTTCGGCACGTGATGACATCTGAATTTTGCACTTGGGCTAATCATCATGGTTGATAATGGGATTAAATCATACTTCACTTTTCCAAACAATGTGTAGCGCTACGTCACCGGAATGTTGAGCACATGGTTCACGGTTCAAGTTCCGCACTTAAGGTGCTTTTGCAATAATTTATCTACATTTTCCACTCTCCACCCAAAAGTAGTAAAGGTAAATCTGGTAAATATTAATTCATTGAATGTCCTTAGCGTCTTTGTTTTTTAGGGCAGGTGGGCTAAAAACAGGGTAATTATAGTAATTGGTAATAGGCCCCTTGATCATCCCATTGGATTGATATTTGCGAAATATAATTGAAGCTATTATTAATACCTAAACATTAGTGAATGCTAATGATCGCTTTGTTATAGCATGACATTCTGTTTAATAATATTATCATCTTTAATACTGTAATAAATGAGGGTCAGCATTACAAAAACTCAAAGAAACTGGGCATACTTGTGTGCATTCACTTAACCCTCACCATTATTGTGCACTTAAGTTTCAGCCAGTGAGGCTACTGAAGGCACGTGTTTCGTTTGTGGCGATAAAGACATTTTTGTTGCACAACATCAGTTTGATAATAAATTACACTAACATTGAAACAAGTTAGCAAAGACTCTCAAAAAGTTAACTCGCAGATATTTCATTCCCTACCATATTTGAAATACGTCAAAGTATTCGCACATTTTAATATGACAGACGGACAAGGCTATTTAAATTGACTGTGGTCGATTTAAAGAAAGTCCTTGCAATCATGTCAAAATCATGTTCAAATTTTCCCCTTTTTTAATATTACTCATCTATACCAACCTGAATAGATGAGTTCTGCATCTTCAGGACATACATCGTTACCCCAGCGGATATAGATGACACCGTCGCTGGGTGGAGTGGGTGTTTCTTGAGCTAAAATGTGAAACATTCAGAAGTTTTATCGGAATCCATTTAGACAAAATTCAACTGTATTCCAGACGTTTGGCATCTATATTTGTGGTATAAGGAATGCCATCATTAGTTGTAAATTGAATCGAGTTTATAGAAAGTGGATTCAGTTCAATTTGTTTGGCCGTTGTGTGAAATGGGTGTTTCCTCAGCTAAAATGTTAACAATTTAGGAATTGTATACATCGGAGTCCACAGACAGAATTTATTTGATAACGGATAGTATAAAACGTGGTAAATTCAATGAAGCCTAAAAAGTTACAAACATATTTTTGTGTAATTTGTCCGGCTTATGTTCTCACCATATCAACGACTAACTGCCCGTATGCTTTTTTAAGCAGCGGCCGTTATTACATGAGCATATGAAAACAAAGCAACCTCGAGTGACCCACAACTATCCGTCTCCATATTGTCTTTGTTAATATAGGCCTGTAGTATCACGTATTGTGTAAATTGCCAAAGACAACACATGAGTTATAATGTCCGAAGTGTTTTCAAATAACTTGAGCTTTTATTTCGCTAGACATGCATTCTCCGGCTTCAATGATTACAATGTCAAAATTATGAATCTTCTACAACCTCTGCATGTCGTGCTATATCGAGTCAGATAGATGTTGTTATAGGCCTACCTTGTGGACCTGTCGGTGCATCCCGTCCGTCTCTCCCGTCCCTACCGGCAACCCCTTGTGGGCCTTGACAACCTTTTTCTCCAGGAACACCAGCAGGACACAAGAAACATTGACCTAAATAAGAACAACATATTTTTTTCATATCAAGTTTAATGATCTGCGAGGTTTAAACATTCCTGCCTGCTAACATTATATTTCAAGCATAATAGCTCTGTCTGAAGGTTATTCTCAATCTGGATGATCATGGCCTATGTCGTACGTTCCATTGATCTTTTCTTATCAATTTTTTCCGATGGTACAATCATAGACCTTTTAGTCTCGAATATTGATATCTCCTTATGTTCGGACTTTAAATGGTCTAACGTGGCCAACCAATATTACTTACGGCTCTGGAAGTTAGTTTTGGCATTTAGAGCTCTCTTATTTTTCTCTTTTCTTCTAGCTAACGCATCTGTTAGCTTCAATGATGTTTCTACTTTCATGACGTACAGTCAACCAGTACTGCCCTGTCTATTGCAGTGGTTTCCGATCTGATTTTGGAAATCTGAATGTCTTGATTGTTACATGCTGGCTTTCAGGCGCCTCAACGCCTGCAAGGCGTCCAATGCCCATTGCAGACGATACATTATTGGATGATGAATAATTGTATATAGGACTATATACGCAAGAGACTTGCGGAGTGGACTTCCTATTTACTTGCCTGGTGAGAGTAGCATCACTCAAAAGGTAAATGCAACAGAAACGCTTGATTTCCAGGCGCACGAACTAATTTTTTTCATAGGTGAGCCTTCGTGTGCGATGGGCAATAGAGAAATCAAGAAACTTCTGGTCTCTCTTTCAAAAGACTTGTTATCAATAACTAGTTACAAAAAATATTTTAAGCTATACTGAAATTTGTCAGACAAATTTAGCAACTGTTATTGATAATAAATTTTAAGAAACTGTGACCTGGTTTTCATACCAGAATACATAGGCCATGAGTATGGTCCGAATGGGTTCTGTCCCAGGCTTGGCTGCTCGGCACCAGATGGTGGGACCGATGTTGGGAGAGTCGATGGCGAGTCGACTTGCCTTCGACGTCGTGTCTTTACAGATTCTCTCAGCTCAAAGTCGGTCTCGAGAGAGTCAGGAAGTTGAATCTTAGACATCATTGATGGATTCTTCGCGATGAGCTCAAGAGTTGAGAAGGAACGAGTGATCTCAGCAACAGATTCCTACATGATTTGTAGTTGAAAAGTTAGGATACAAATTTAAAAATAAAATCACTAATATGTACCCTCGATATTATTTTCTGTGATTAAGGCGGTGGAACATACTTATCAAAACGTTTGGAGCTAAATGAACCCTATTGGAATTGAAGAAAATGCATCAGTCATGCTCTGTGCACACAATAGATTACGTATCCCGTATCTCTGTTCAGCCGGTATCGTTCCACCACTGTGGATTGTATTAAGTGCGTGGACCGTGACAGAGACTACTGTATAGGCGACAGAGTTCTCAAACTGAATCATCTCACCAAAAACTTTCGCTCGGCAAAGATGTGATGGTCTTACATCTAGGAGACGCGGGGTAACATTGATCAATCAAAAAAGAGTCTCATATGGTTGGAAAGATAAAATTAGATAGAAAAAGATTTTCTCAAACTAAAAAATAGACGCGGGCGGTTTCCCACATTGTTACATGGTAATAGGACTCTGTCGCCAGACCCGTTGATTTTACACAGAAAACAAGCTAAAAATAACAGTAGATTGACTACTTTAACAAATAAAATACATTAGTAAATCATAATGAAATGGTAATTTGTTTGTTTTACCCGAAAGAACATAGTCTTTGTCGTTTTATACTAGTCTATCTAGGCTAAATTGATACTTTTAGCAGAATGGAGATGGATGTAAACAAAAAGGCGTGTTTTTCACGTCCTTCTCCAGAAAACACTTTTTGTTAATAAAAAAAACAAGCACTGTTCAGTAACCCAAACGTTTTGATATGTGAAGGTACTCTTCAAATCTGATATGGAATTTTTTTTTTCTGGTGAAACATGCCTTCCAACCCTACGACAAGTTGCTGGTAGCTAAAAGCATTGGCCAAAAACATCCACCCCGGATAACCACCGCCAGTCAACTACCCCCTAGGACAACTACCCCCTAGGAAAACTACCCCCTAGGGCAACCACCCTCTAGGATATCTATCCGCGGGACAACTACCCCGGGACAACTAACACTCAGATAACTACCCCCTAGGACAACTGCCCCTAGGACAACTACCCCCGGACAACTAACCCCTACGACAACCTTCCTCTAGGACACCCGCCCCCGGACAACTATCCTTAGGAGTAAATGTCCGGGGGTAATTGTCCGGGGAAGTTGTCCTAGGGGGTAGTTGTCCGGTGGTAGTTGTCTCAGGGGGTAGTCGTCCTACAGGGTGGTTGCTCTAGGGGGTAGTTGTCCTAGTGGTTAGTTGTCCTGGGGGTAGTTGACTGGGGGTGGTTATCCGGGGTGGATGTCCAGGGGGTAGGGTAGGTGTTGGGAATTGGAGACCCTTAAGCACATTTGCATAATTTACATAAACATGAAAAATGTTACGCATACAGAAAGTTTTGTATTCTCTTCAGTAACTTCTTCTCTTTATTTGGTAACAAAATTGTGGTCATGATGTAACTGATCAATGAGATAACAATGATTAATGACTTCATCACCAAAGGGTAATAAAGGACAGTTACAAATCAATACATTTTAAATACAATTTGAATGAAAATGGGATTGTTATAGTTAGTTCAAACACTTTTTGCAAGAGAAACATACAGCCAATGAACTTACTGTAATTTTGAAACGATTTTAAAACAATGTGGTCGAAAATATTTCTGTAGTTTTTTTTAAAAACTTTAATAAAGGTGCTTTAAATTATGTTTAAATACTTTCAGAATAATGTTCTGGTAATGTGACTTTTACATTGATCAAACTCACAGCAAAGAAACAACTTCTTAAAATGAAGTGCATTCAAATTAGAATGGTGACACGACAACCAAATATGTTTCATGATAGTGCCTTTCAACGTGAAATGAACTACTGGGGGTAAGTAGGCCCCCTTCTTGGACCTGGTGTCCCCCTTGCCTACACACATTTCTGATCAGACACCATTCATAATGTGAATTGCAACACCCATTCACAACACACAATGGCCATAAGTTTTATGTGATGGTTGGCATACTTCATAAACTTCCTTTTAAAACTACTTTTTAAGAGCCACCCCTAAATACCTGCATACACCACAACATTCAGTGGAAATGGTGTTTTTTATATCAGAGCAAAATTTTACGAACAAAATTGCTTATCTTGGTCAATTTTGCCAATTTTCTCGGAGAAAGAACGCATGGTAGTCTTCGAAATGAATTGGATTGTGCATTAGTGTTGTTAAAGGCTACATAGTACAGCGCTATTATATAGCAATATTGGAGCCAACACGGACAGACAGTGATGGGTTCAAGCTTGGTGGTCTCCGATTCCCTACACCTACAACTCATGGCATGTGCCAAACGATTTTGGTAAAGAGGGGCTAAGTCATATGGCTCCGCTTGTCTCATTTCTGCTCACTGGAACTTTGCCAGCACAAACCACTGACCTCTACCTCCTGGACGGATCATCGCCCATTCCCATTCAATATACGTTACGTACTAAAAGACTATATTGTCTGACCGTTCATGAAAATTCATGTTTTTGCAAACCTCGGCAAAATGTTTAGCTTTTACTAAATGGAAAAATTACGGTGGGGGTTGGATGAAATGGACTAAATGAACCAAGCAGAAGTGATCTATGATAATTCATGCTTCTTATTCTTCATGTGCTTGACTTATAATCTTAAAATCGCTTGGCAAACTGAGTCCAAAGTTCGACTTGTTTCACATGTGTACCATAGGCAATGACGAGCTTGCAACCTATTTTGATCAAAGTACGGTGGGTGAACTTTCAAAAGTCAATTAGACATGAGGGTTCCAATGAAAGAGCTAGTGATAACGTACGTCGTGGTGGATGTGCTTTTCGTTTAAACAAAAAACGAATTTTTAACGATTGTTTGGGGGTAACATTCCATAGGCTAACATGTTAGGCTGCTGACTCTGACGCCATGGAATCTTTTTCTAGAGCTAATGTTTGGCTGGTCTATTACAGCGGAATCCGCATTGTGGCACTCGTTCAAATGCGATTAACTCGAACTTTTTCTGTGTGAACATAAACTATACCGTATTCGGTCAAAGGTCATCTGCGCAAAATGTACTGCATGCCTGAAACGTATTGCGTATTGTTATGTAATCCGTAGGAAATTCATCATTCTAGGTGATAAATTTGCGATGACTTCATCACATTTTACCAAACTTGGCAGACGGTTAAAAAGCAAATGTCCGCTTAGTAGAGGTGTCGTGGACGAGTGGATATGTCACCGGACTGTGGATCACAAGGTTCGCGGTTCAAGTCCCACCGCGGCACTAATGTCCTTTGGCAAGACATTGATCTACATTTGCCACTCTCCACCCAGGTGTTAAATGGGTACCCGGTAGGATGCGAAAGCTAATGTGGTTAGATTAGCAAGTGTGCGCTTGTAAAAAGACGCCTGGCTGGAATGCTCCCCAGGGAGTGGAGAATGTGCATACATTGTGTGCGGGTAAGCCTGAATCCTATGACCGGGGTAATATAATACATCTGTAAAGCGCTTTGAGAGGGCCTCCGGTCCTGAAAAGCGCTATATAAGAACTAGCTATTATTATTATTATTAGTTTTATTGACCTGGGAAGTGAGCCGTGCATTGCCCAAGGATCGCGATTTTAGGGCAAGTTGAAGTTATTTCGAAATTTTCCCGAAAATCATGATTTTCAACAGCAATTTCGCAAAGTCGGTCACTGGAAGGTAGTATATCTTTACAAAAAAGGCACAGGTTTGGCTAGTCACGATTCTATACAAATTGGTGCTAATTAGAATGCAAAAATGTATGCTTTTAAATACGCGTACATACCTGAAGGAACAGTACTTGTTTTCTAATTTCAGAGATTTTGTCCTCTTCTGCTTGGGTCAGTTTGCCTAAATCTAGAATTTTGTTAGGGTCAAAAGCTAAATGCGAGAAGAGAGAGATAGAAAGTGGTGGACACGTTGTGATAAAAGGAGATCCATAAGATTAGATAGAGGCAGAGAGAGGGGGAGTATGGGTAATTAAGAGACAGAAGGGAAGGTAGAGGAAAGGAATAAGAGAAAGAAAATTTGAGGATTTGGGGTACGAGAGGGAAGGAGATGGGCGCATAGAAATAGGGGGAAATATAGACAGTTGGATAGAAGCCAAAAATGAGAAAGAGAGAGAGAGAGAGAGAGAGAAAGAGAAAGATTAAACACCTTTTTAAGTGGTTCTAACTTATTAACATTTTAGGGAGAAAGTGATCATTTTTTTTTATAACATTTTGATCAAAATCTGTTTTCACTTGGACATGTTCTTGGTTCAATGTTGTGACTCTTACCTTCAATATCATGAATGTGTTATTAGCTCAAACGTATTCCTTATAACAGATAAAACAAGCAAGAAAAGTATCAACGAATATCAGCTTATATTTATGTAGAATATCTTAATATAAACTTGATCAATAATGCCTAATTATCAGCAAACTTGAATATATTTTGAGAAAGTCTAGATCGCTGCTTGGTGTCGAAAAAAAATACACAAAAATACAAAAGATAATGATGCTCCGTACACGAAAATTTTGTTAACAAATTTAATAGGGCTTTGTCAAGTAATGATTTCATTGACTTTGAAAAATGTTATTGGTAAGCATCCAAATATTCGTATCTTATCCACCTCTTATCTTCCTCTGTCCTATCCTATACATTATTTTTAAAAGATAGTAGCTTGCAAATCCTATCCCTGGCTTAAACAAGAAACTTGCAATTGGCCAATCCCAATTAATACCTTTAGTGTAAATCATACACCAGACAATGCCTTTGCGGATCAAAGTTATCGATTAGATAAATTGTAATATTTCTTGCCAAAATGTTGGTTGCGAAAAACACCTCTTACACTCTACTCAAAATACCTTAATTATGTTTTAGGGAGGACATCTACCCCCGTTTCGGTACTGTAAGAGACATCGATGGAAGAAATCTACAGTGATAGGTAGCATAATGATAAATAAAACCTGCCCAAAAACCTCACCTTCATCTTGCGAACCTTCCTTTGAAACAGCGACGGCTTGGTTGACTCCAACAAGACACAGACATGAAAATAGAACTAGAGTGATGACAAACAACGACTTCATCTTGAAAACAGTGTTGATAGAAGCTGAGAGAATCGTTAAAAAAATTACTTCGAAAGTGAAGGTATTATAGGAGTATTTCTGCAACCGGGCACTTTGATGAGAACATGAGTGCGTGGTGATGTTGACTGTCAAAGGAACGGCAAGGCTTCAGTATTTATACCACTTAAGCCCAGGGGTGGATCTAAGGGGATGTTTTTTTGGACGACCAAGTGATAAAAGGGGGAGAGGGAAAATGAAGGAAAACAGTTAATTCGGCGCGATTTTTGGAAAATCCTGGATCCGCCACTGTGTCAAACCCCCCCCCCCCCCCCCCTCCTTTGGCAAAAAGCTAGATCCACCCCTGAAGCCCCTCCTACTATTTGCCAAATTTGGTGACAAGGAGGAGCCCGAGCTAGTTCGGCACAACGATTTGTCTATTAATCAGAGTTTTTCTGTATTAATTGATTTGATTTTTTTTTAATTATATAATTTGTTAGACGTGACTTAGACAGGGCTTAGACAACTGTTTAGTTAAACAGGAGTTATACACGACTTCAGAATACGGGCCAAAGTCTCTAGAACCGTTTTCATTTGCTCTTCACCACTCTTACACATTACATGCAGGCCCCACGGAACGTTTTTCAAAGTGGAGTATTAACGGTCAGGTAGAGCGTAAATTGGCGTGGGGTCCTGGGCCTATGCCCCGGCAGGGGGTCAGGAGCTGAGCTCCCGGAAGCTCAGGGTTTTTAGGCATTAAATTACGGTTAGATGAGCATCTAGGGCCCTCTTTAAGGCCGTTGATGTGGTCCAGGAGGCAGAGCCGCCTGAAGCTCAGAGGTTTTTTAGTTATTTAATTACGGTCAGATGAGCATCCAGGGGCCCGCCTATAAGGGCCCTTGTTTGGGTCCAGGGGCAGAGCCCCCGGAAGCTCAGGGGGTTTAGGTATTTAATTTCGGTCAGATGAGCATCCAGGGGACCGCCTTAGGGCCCTTGGTAGGGTCCGGGGGCGGAGCCCCCGTGAACTCTGGGGTTTTAGGGGTTTTATGTATTTAATTACGGTCAGATAAGCATATTATGACACCTCATAAATTTAATGACATTGGCAGGTTACTTATTTTTTTCTCTCTCTTTCTTTATTTTTCTCTGTAACATACTCTTTCAAAAATTGAGGGGGGCTCGAGCCCCCGAACCCAGCCGTTCTGCAGGCCCTGACATGGAGGCTTCTTAATAAGGCTTCTAAGTTTGTTGCCCGACTGTAAATTTGGGAATTTCTAACTTTCCAACAAACGCATAAAAAGGTATGACTTACAAAAAATGGAGAAAAAATACCGGAAAATCATGTCATTTCAGCAACATTTCTAAATCACTGGTATCGAATAAGAATTAACCCCCCCCCCCCCCCTCATTAGTACGCCAGCGTTCAGGGGATCATGTCTTCTCACCCATGGCAACAAAAATGCGCGTATCGCTATTATAAAAACTTCCATTGATAGATATAGGTGGCATGAGGAATGTTTAGAAAATTTAATTCCTGTAAACTTTCCTTTTCTTTGATTGTGATTTCATTCAGGTTTTATTATTGTTATGTTCTTTTGCGTTAAAAATACAAACCATCTTTACTCCTTTACTGCTTTTTTTTTTTGGAGGGGGGGGGGCGTTTTTTTTTTTTGGGGGGGGGGGCGAAAATGCGTTTTCAAACAGGATAGGCCACCTTGTTATCTTCACTGTATGTTTACTTAAAATTTTAATAAATCTCTAAGGAACCCTACATCCGCCGCTATGTCAATTTCTAGATGTATTACTGAACAACGCAGGTCGGTAATTGGCATGCATTGTAGTTCTAGAAATATCAGCTACGTAGAAAAAACATCTTTGTTGATAGTTTATACACACACACCAAAAAAGGTAGAGGGTAGTTATTGAGTCTCGCAGTATATGTATGGCGAGTGCAGTGCGTGTACGTAGACTCTGTTCAAGTTGTTTCTTCTGCCGGGTCAGTCTATCGATACAATATATAATGTCAATGGGGGGCTACCTATTTTTGTTAATGCGCCTCCGGGTCATAGTAGGATATAACGTCCCCTTGAACCTATACAAACGGCTAGTCCTCTCATACCAGTAAATGTGTTTATACTAATTAATGTTACTCTTTTTATTAGGGGTAGGCATAGTCCTAGTATTAGCAGCAGCAGTACTTTTGGCAGTAGTCAGTAGTAGTAGTAGTATAACAAATTTTATTATGACCATGCATAATAGCTTGTTGTGTATCTCTCAAAGAGTATACTTGCTTCTCAAAATGCTATAGAAATGGATACTTTATTAGGGACGTGAACCCAATCAAATGATGAAGAATATGTTATAACAGAAAAGAGAGAGAAAAGAACGAAAGAAAAGGGCGAAGAGGCCATAGGTCACGTGAAGTATGAACCTTCCATGAACGCACGCCTTATACTCGATATAATTATATACTCGTTTTGTCATTGTTCGTCCATCCATTCTTGACCGGTAACCACACCCTTCCTCTTTGAAACCAGCACACCCCCCCCCCCCCCCACCCCCTCCTCATGGCTAAAACCACACTACGCCATGGTGACTGCCAAATTTATCTTTCTTCAGTGCTAGCCTGAATTATATAACAAATCAAAGAAGCGATGTTTTACGCATCGTCATGAGCAAACCATTATTTAATGAAATGAAAACTTTCGTCATCTATCATAATAGGGAGAAACAAACTAGAACGCGACACGATGTACCAACACAAATTAATTCATACAACACGAAATCGACAGTTGATTATATTGCAGTTAAACTGAGGGTGACGACGAAATATTATTTTGACAAACTTCAAGTAAAATCAAGAAGCGTGGGGAAGAACACTCCTTATTTCTTAAATAAGACCTTGATCTTGTGTTTATACTTCTGGTAGAGGGAAGTATAAGAATTAAAAACATAAAATGTTTTAAAAAACTTTTTTTCACTAAAAAGAATCATATTGTGCTGGCATTATTATTGTGAAGCGAAATATCATTGGCGGAAGACCGGGGGGAAACCCCATGCAAGGCAGTCATTGTAAACTCGACATTCGCATGCATTTAAAATAACGACATGCCTCACTCTTTGCACGCGACTATTATTTTGTTAGGAACCAATAACCAATAGCATTTCCATGGTGTGGTTGCTCTATATAACTAGAAAGGAGTCAGCCATTTTCGTGATCTTGAAATAGAGGGTCACCCTCAAAGTCTTTTTAGAATACAGGCCTTTATTAATAACTTATTTTCCAAAAGAATATTTTACCTGGCACCTTAAAAAACTCGATATACTCGTTCTCTCATATTTCTTCTATCTATCCTTGACCGGTTACCCCACCCTTCCTCTGTGAAACCGGCATCCCCCCCCCCCCCCCCTCTCTCTCATGGCTAGAACCATACTACGCCATGGTGCCTGCAAAATTAATCTTTCTTGTCAGTCTGTAGGTCTATGGGAACAAAGGTTTGAAAATGTTTTTGTGTTCCCTGATGAATACCGAACAATTTTGACTTGGGCTGCCCCCTTGAAAATCCCGGGCATTTCCATGAGGGGCCAACAAAGGTCAAACAGGGGTCGAAATTCAAATATATTCAAATCGTGTCGATATGCATATCAAATTACTTGTCTGGTCATGAGGATTCCAAAAATGTATAGTTTGTTATACCTCCGACCTAAAATGAGGGTGATATGGTCAAAAACGTTGAAAGGTCAACGAAATTCACCAACACAGTTAAACTTATCAAATTGCATATCAAATTACTCGTCTGGTCATGAGGATTCCAAAAATGTATAGTTTGTTATACCTCCGACCTTAAATGAGGGCGCTATGGTCAAAAGGGTCAATGCACTTTAGACTGGTGGTCAAATTCACCAACACGTCCGATTCTCATGATGTTAGTGTCTAATAATATGTTTTCTGACATGTCAAATTCAGCTACCGTATACAACTTTCAAAAGTAAAAGTGCTTACATTGACCATGAACATTCAAAATGGCTGCCGTTTCGGTGACAAACATTTACCAACTTCTTATCCATGGGTTTGGGGGAAATTTCAAGGTAATGGCAACCACTTTTGATTTTAAAAGTTGCTTAGTTGAATTTTTGGAATCCTCATGACCAGACAAGTAATTTGATATGCATATCGACACGATTTGAATATATTTGAATTTCGACCCCTGTTTGACCTTTGTTGGTCCCTCACGAAAATGCCCGGGATTTGCAAGGGGGCAGCCCAAGCAAAAATTGTTCGGTATTCATCAGGGAACACAAAAACACTTTCAAACCTTTGTTCCCAGAGATTGGTCACGGGACCTACAAGCTGGTCTCCTACTAATAACAAATTAAAGAAGCGATCGGTTTTACGTATTGTCATGAGCAAACCAAAAACTTTCGTCGTCTATCGGGAGAAACAAACTATATAGAACACGACACGATGTACCAACACAAATTAATTCAAACAACACGAAATCGATAGTTGATTATATTGCAGTTTAACTGAGGGGGACGACGAAAAATACTTATTTTGACAAACTAGCTTGAACTAAAATCAAGAAGCGTGGGAAAGAGCGATCCTTATTAAATAAGACCTTGATCTTGTGTGTACATTTCTGGTTGAGGGAAGCAGATGAATTAAAACATAAAATTTGAAGACATCAAACTTTTTTTCACTAAAAATAACCACATTGTACTGGTAGTATTATTGTGAAGCAAAATATCTTTGCGGAAAACCTGGAGAAACCCCATGCAAGGCAGTCATTGTAAACTCGACATTCACATGCATTTAAAATCACGACATGCCTTACTCTTCGCACGCGACTATTATTTTGTTAGGGAACCAGTAACCTAACCGATAGCATTTCGCTGGTGTGATTGCTCTATATTAACTAGAAAGGAATCAGCCATTGTTGTGCACTTTAAGGGAGTAACCATGAAAACGCTTTATAGAATACAGGCCTTTTTTCATAACTTATTTTCCAAAAGAACATTTTACC